CGCGGCGCGAGCGCCTGGCGGCGGCGGCCGCCGCGGCGGCGACCGCGGCGCGCGCCTCTCGGGCCTCACGCCGGTCCCTGTAGAGGCACCCCAGCGGGTACTGCTGCAGCAGCAGCGGCGCCCCGATGCCGACGATGCGCAGCAGCATCAGCACCACCAGGCCCGCCCACACCCACACCAGCTGCGCCTCGGGCGGCAGCTGCTGCGCGGCGGACCAGCGGGCGCCGCAGATCATCAGGGCGAGGGCGCCGCCGGCGCAGGGCATCATCATGGCGCTGGCGTACCTGTTCGGGGAGCAAGGGAGCATAGGCATTCAGAGCACGTGGGGCGCATGAAGCAACACATTTGAGAGGTGATAGCATGTGCAAAGAGGTGAACCGAAAGTTCTTGCTTGCAACACTACAGGTGTGTGATGCTAAATGCGGATCCAGCAGCCAGATCGAACCAGGATCTGGCCAGGGGTGCGCCCTGAAGCTGCTGCCGGGCAGGCCGTTGCGCATCAAGGCTATCACAAGCAGAGAACGAGCCCGGCCACCGCGGGGTTGGGCACGCACCTGAAGCCGCCGGCGCCGTACAGCACGCCATCCAGCACAAACGCCAGCGCGTTGACCGGCTGCGTCGCCGCCACCACCAGCATCAGCGGCCGCAGCGCGCGCAGCACGAGCGGGTCCGACGTGAACAGCGCCGGCAGCGCGCCCGCGCCGGCCCAGACCGCGGCGCCGAGCAGCAGGCCCAGCGCGCAGCCAGACGTCAGCGTCGCGCGGACGAGCGCGCGCGCGTAGCGCAGGCGGCCGGCGGCGATCTCGGACGCGACCAGGGTCTGGACTGCCGCGGCCAGGGCGTCGGCCAGGAGGCTGGAGGAGAGCCACAGCTGCAGGGCGATCTGTCGTTTAGATTGCAGGTTTGAGGGTTTGGGGTGGGTTTGGGGGCATCGAGATGCTGGTTAGGGTGAGCAAGGGGTGGGTTTGAGGTTGCAATCATACAGAAGGGGTAAGGCACAGGCGCAGGCGCGGCAAACGATCGTACCCCAATGACCGTCAAGCTGGATGCCGCACTCGCCCCTGGCGGGCAGCCGCACCTGGTGTGCCGCGGCCGCGATGGGGCCCGCGCGAGACGCGAGGCCTGTTGCGACCGCGAAGACGGCGCTGACGCAGACAGACCTCAGCACCAGGAAGCCTGCAGGTGTAATGCGTGCGTGACACATTTGTGAGTACAATCGACAACCCCTGATTGCGCAAATGGCCGGCCCAGCAGCAGGTGTGGAACCCTTACGACAGACGCGGCCCCGCCTCCCGCTCTATATTTGGCTTTCAACATAGGTGCTCCTGCTAGCATCAAACTGCGCACGGCCCTCGCTTCTACCGATGTTTGCAACCACGTGCGTCCGTCCCACCTGTCGGCCTGAACATGGCGCCCAAGTGTGCCCAGTCCACCAGCGACGGCCCCACCGCCAGCCGGTACCCCCGCCGCAGCACCACCAGCAGCGCCGCCAGCGGCAGCGCCTGCGCGATTATGGTCGCGAGGGCGGAGCCGCGCACGCCCATGTGCAGGGGCGAGAAGATGAAGGGGGACTCGAGGGCCACATTGATGGCGTTGCAGGCGATCGTCGCATAGAGCGGCGTCGTGGCGTCGTGCATGCCGCGGAAGACGCCCTGAGAAGAGGGTTGGAGCGGACGCAGCGGCACGAGTGAGCGCAGGTTCAAACGCGCGGCGAGAGTCCCAAGTGTGAGGTATCAGAAGCGCGCGTGTGAGTGCGTTCACAATAGAACTTGACAGGTGGTGTTTGTTTGTGCAATCAGGTGGCAGGCGTGTACACGCACTCTGGTGCATGCCATAGCCTTGTGCCTTGTGCCCCCTAGCTGAGCAAGCTTGCGATGGATTCATTCCCCACCCGCCCTTGCCCTGGAGCGCCCCTGGTATTTTTGCCTCACCTGCAGCACGAGCAGCAGGACAGTGATCGGTGCAGCCATGCCGCGGACCAGCAGAAAGTCCAGGGTGGGTGCCCTCAGGGGGGAGCCGGTGGGCGCACCCCAGGCGTCGGCGGCCTTGGTGGCCCCCATGACGATCGACACGGCCTGGGGATTGAGGGGGTGGGGGTGGCGGCAGGCGCGGGGAGCTCTGCAGGCGGTTTGCGGGCTGAACAGAACTGTTCAGCTGCGGGGTGTGGCACCGCTGATATGCGATTGTGTTGGTGGTTTGAAGCAGGCGCCGTGGAGCGTCGTGAAGGCTCCCGTCTGCACCTAGTCGCACCAACGGGGTCGGCTGCCGGCTGCTTACCTCGAAGACACCAAACGCTAGCGCCAGGGCGAGGGCCGAGGACGCGGCTACCGCGAGCTCCTGGCCCCCAGCTCCGCCCTTCGCGCCGCTGCTGCCGCTGTGGTGGCCGCTGCCGCGGTCACCTTCGGCATCATCCGCGGCAGCCCCGCCGGCGGCGACCTTCGGGCTGACAACTGGCTTCTCGAGCAGCGGCGCGTGCTTCGGCGCCGTGACTACTGCCACCAGCGGGCCGCCGGACGGCGGCGCGCTTTCGCTGCCACGCGCGCCGCGCTCCGACGGGGCTGGGGAGGTCGAATCGTCGAAGAGAATAATGGCGTCTTCGGAGCCTGGAGAGGGCGCGGGGCTGCCGCTGTCGGCATCCACACGCGCCGGCACTGCGAAGGGCGAGGCCGAAGACCCGAGGGGTGCCGAATGCGGGTGAGCGGCCGCGCCCCAGTTCCCTGGGCGGCCTTGATCGCCAGAGCGAATAAGGTCCCTAGCGGCCAGCTGCTGCTGCTCCTGCTGCCGCCACTCCTGCTGCTCCTGCTGTTGCTGCTGCTGCTCCTCGCCCGACTTTGCTGCCGTTGGCTCGTCTACATTGGAAGGGCACGCCACCGGGTCGTCGCCCGCGCCGCCAGGGGGCGGCGGGGCGGCCGCGCTCCCGGGGGCGGCTGCGGAGGCTGCTGCGGCGGCGGCGGTCGCGCATGCGACCTGGCTGGTGGTGACTGCCAGGAGGCTGGCGTTGAACATCTGCAGGGGTGGTGCGGGACAGAAGGGATAGAGATGGGTAATGGCAGGGTGAGGATGCGGGGGCATGAAAAGACTGGTTGGTCGGAAGGCCACTGGCGTTCCTCCACCACGCCTGTGCCCCAACATGCATATGTGGAGCGTTGAGCGAATGCGCACACCGTCCTCCAGCACAACAACCTTGGCTGCAGCATTACACAATGCATAACTCACAGCCCCTGGGCTCCTGCTGTCCCAGGGCTCCCTCATCCCAAGCGGCCCTATGTTTTGTGGCCCGCTCGAAACCCCAGTCGGCTCGGTGTCAGGGCAAGCGTGCACCTTGGTGGCGGCGTTGTAGATAGACATTGCGGTGCCGACTCCCGCCAGCTGGGCGGCTCCCAGGTGACCAACAAATGCGGTGTCCACCAGAGAGGCGATAGGGTCGGCCGCCAGCGTGGCAAGCATCTGCGTCGAGTGGGGGAGGGAGGAGGGTGCACTTTTTGCGCACCGACTAGGTTTCTGCCTCACATCAGTACTGCGCTGGCCTTGGCGCGCTTGCATGGCCATGCTCCCATGGGAGCACGTGGAGCATAAGCGAGCCCCAATGCAGGTGGCGTGGGACACCTACCGGCAGGGCAAATGACAGGACCGCGTAGTAAGGCTCTGGGGGCGGCGCTGCCAGCTGCTGCAAGGCGGGCACCGCAATTGGCTGGGGTTCCTGTTCCGACAAGCGCGTCCCCTCATCGCCGCTGGCTGGTGCTGCAGGGCCGCCGCTGCCGGTCTCGACGTCGATGTGGGTGGCGTGGAGCTGCTCGCCGGGCGCGTGGGTTGCCGCGGCGCCACCAGTCACCCGAGGTGCGGCGCATTTGTCACTGACCCTAGCCCCCATCGCCAAGCCGCCTTCAATCGACAAGCGCAGGCAGCGCAGCCAATGCATGCGTTGAGTGGTTGTCAAAATAGCCACATGGCACAGTGCGGGCTCGTCTTGGCAGGGGTGTGTGCACATGCACGCCTGAGCACATGTGCTGCGGTCCCCTGTCGGTTCACCCTGGTATGGCTACATGCCGCCCCACACTCACCTCAGCGCCTGCGACTGCAGGATGAGCAATCAATGATATCAGCGCATGTCTCGAAGAAGAGTACGCACTGCTTCACCCGCAGGGGAGAAAGCGACGGTCGTCACAACTCCGCGACGCCGAATTGCAAAGCTGCCAACGGCTTGCAAAAAGATGTCGCGTGCGGGGTGACAAACCGAAACAATGCGCCTGAGAAGGCGCGCACGCCTCGTTCAACGGATGCTTCTGATGCCTCGGTTGATGCTGCAGCGTGCCGGGTACGGTATGCAACAAGAGAACAACAGGAGGAGATGTACTCGAACGTATCACCAACTTTCCCGACGGAATCAAAATATGCTGCTCGTGGGCATGGCCTTGTGAGGCTCGGCGTCAGCTTCGACATGCATGCAGCGTGCCACAGGCGATGCGGCCTGAGGTGCGTGCCACCACTGGGGCTCTGATGCACGTGCCTACACAATCAGGTCCAATCTGTCCAGGCTCAGAAGCATGCCGACACCGAGCCCAAAAACCAGGCCGGCAACACACAGTCAACCGACAGGTTGACCATTGGGCCCGCTGCCGTGTACAATCGCCCGGGACAGGGATTGTGTGGCCCTGAGAGTTACACTCCCGCTGCCATGACTCAAGGCTGCCAGTATGCACAAACCTAACCGAACGCGGCCCGTTTATCATCAACACCCCCTCCCGGCCACTGCCGACAGTGCGGGCAACCGCGTCGCGCGTGACACATGCTACAGTCACCAGGTCGCTCCATGCACGAGTGAATGCGTTTGCGATCAAGCCGTGCCATTCAGCCTTCAACCCGCCGGAGCTTGCGCAGCCGCTCACTGCACATCCGCCTGCTGTTGCCGCAGCTGCCCCAGCACCAGCGCCCGCGCGCCCTCAACCACTGCCAGCTGCTGCCGCCATGCAACCAGCGCGCTTGAGGTCTCCGCTATGCTGGGGTCTGGCAGTTTGACCATCGACGGGACAGGCCGTCCCATCTTGGTGCCTTTTTCCCGGATCTCCTCGGCGATCTGCTGTGACACCGCCTGCAGCTGCTCAGCGGCTTCCGGGTTGGCCCTTGCAATACAGAGTGTTGCGCAGGGAGAGAGGGGAGTGTTGTGGAGGGTACTGCAGGCCCGGCACAGGGAAGGTGAAATGATAAGCAGGACCCTGGCATGTGACGAGCAGGCCGCGCCTCTGCCAAAGGGAGCGAGACGCGCTGCTTTGCTGACCTGCGGGGCTGCCTTGCTGGCCCGCCACGCTGCCAGGTGCTGCACAGCCCCTGATTCCCGGCAACTCCCGTGCCCACGCTGAGTTCGCAAACCCCGTTTCCCCACTGAGCCCCGCGGCACCGACGTGCCACCATGCCCACCTGATTCGCGCAGCGAGCTGGTCCGCCTCAACCGGCACGTCCGCCGCCGCCCCCACCGCCGCGGCCTCCGCCTCCTCCGCCTCTACCCGCGCCAGCGTCTGCGCCACAAACGCCGCCAGGGCGTTCGCCTCCACCTCGTCCCCCGCGCCGGCCCAGGCCCAGCCGGGCTTGGCGGCCGCGGCGGCGGGCGGGAAGGCGGCCCCCAGGCTGGCAAAGGTGAAGTATGCGCTGCTGAGCCACCTGCAACCGGGGTTGCGTGCCCACGAGGGCGTCGGATGGGGGCAGTGCGGTTGTAATTGATGCAAACAGGGCCAGGCTGGGTACCATCAGCTGCACGATCAGCTGCGGGGACGACGGCAATGGGGAGAAGGCAGCCGCCGCCAGGCGTGCGGCCGGGAGCCGCAACGAGCGCGCGCCTGCGCGCCGCGCGCACCTGGCAAATAGCTGCCGCGTGATGTCCACCTCCGTGCCGGGCCCCGGCGCCGCAACCGGCAGCAGGCCGCCAGCCTGCAGGAACTCGTCGCCCTTCAAGGCGCCCAGAAGCTCCGCGGCCGAGTGGCCCGCGGCGTACGCGTCGGCGGCGGCGGCGAGGAACTGCTGCAGCGAGTAGGGCGCGCCCAGCACCGCCCCCATGAACGCCACCAGCAAGTGGACCGCCGCGCCCCGCACGTCCCCGCCGTCTTCCACGCTTGCGGCCGTCTCCGGCGCCGCCGCCTCGTCCTGGGGCTCGCCGCCGCCGCCGCCGCCGCCCGGGCGCCAGCCGGCCAGCAGCGCGGGCGCGTAGTCCGTGGGCGCGGTGACCGTCGTCGGCTCCTGCACCGGCCGGTTTATGGGGAGCCCCGCCGCAGCGGCCGCCTCCACGGTCAGCAGCGCCAGCCGGGAGTACTGCTGCATCACCTCCGCCGCCTGGCTGAACCCACCGCCGCCGCCGCCGCCGCCGTTGCCCTGCTGCTGCCGCACCGCGCCCTGCAGCGCGGCGACGCGTGCCAGATTGTGGCCTTCCGAGTCGTACCGCTGCAGCGCCTGGCGCGCGAAACCCTGGAGCCCTAAGGACGCCTGGCCATGCCGCCGCGTCACGCCGCCGCCGCCGCCGCCGCTGTCGCCGTCGCCGCTGTCACCCTCGCCGCCGCTGCTGCCGCTGGTCTGAGCCGGCGTGAAGGGGACGCCCAGCTCTTGGGCGGTGAGCATAATGACGAGTGTCCACGTCACCAGCAGGTCCACCTCCTGTGGACCCAGGGCCTTGGGAGACCCTGGGGACTGGAGGCCTGCGAGCTGCAAAGACAGCTGGGAGGAGCAGGGGGTACGCACGCGGGTATGTGCGATGGATTTGCATGTGTGTGGAGCGAAGGGGTGCATATCAGCCCAGTGGGTGAGCCGCATCGATCACATCCCGTGCTGTGACGCGCGGCCTGCTACCGCCCCATTCCATTCGCAAGCCGCTGCTGCTGTGTGAGTCTCAAACCCTGCGCAGCAGGCCTGCTGCCATTGGGACGCCGTGCGCAAACAATCAGTCTCAGAACCTGGACCTTGCGGTCACTCGCTGCACATCATCAGTCCACACACAGGCTAACCTCCAGATCGTCACAGGGGCAGCCCCGACGATAAACTTCAAGCACCGTCTCAACGAAGCACTGCGCGGCAAACAGTGAGCGGTTCTGCGCCGCGTGGTACGCCAGGAGCAGGGCCGCGTCGGGGCCGACGTCCCGCAGGCGCTGCTGCTGCAGCTGCTGCTGCTGCTGCTGTTGTTGCTGCGGCTGGGGCTGGGGCTGCTGCGGCTGCCAGATCATGATGTCACGTGCGTGGGCATCATACATGAGAGCGGTTTGGCCGAGGAGGGATGAAGAAGGGGCGGGGAGATATGTGCGACTTGCTGCCTCTGTTGGCGCCACCCCGCCTCGGTGCAGGTCATGCGTGGATGCTTCCATTCCCTGTGCCTGCCTGCCGGGCAGGATGCAAGGTGTCACACCGTTCTCAACGAACATGCACCGGCCATGCCAACCTTGCCACATGCACACCTGACTTGCAGAGCATGCTGGTGTAGGCCGCGCCCTGTTGCAGCGCTGCAGCAGCCGCACGTGGGGTGTGCGCGGCATGAGCATAGCAGGTGTCAGCCGCACGCTGCGGTGCCCAGAGGCGGGTCCGGTTGCAAACGGTCTACGCATTAAGTTGTAAGCGCTGTCGTTGTTTGCTTGCTACTTGCGAGGGAGTGTCCGGACGCGATCAGCACTCTAAGGCATGTATAGTACAGAACCGCTGCTTGTTTGATGACAATACGGTACTTTTTTTCCTTTCAACAACTGCTGCGCGTCCTGCAGTGGCCGTGACGTTGGAGTCACACCCAGCGACCCATCAGACTGCGAGTGCGGCGGGGAACACTTGTGTTCCCCAGGGATCAGCTGGAGTGACGCCCGGGTGACACCCCCCTTGCACGCCGCCCTCTTTGGGCGGCATGTTCGTTTCTCTCCTCTTCTCGTTTGCACGTGTTGTGCGCTGCTGGCCACAGAGCAGCAGGTGAGCGCGCCATTCCCTCTCCGCACTTGGCGGCGATCACCATGCGAGCACTAGGCGCACAGGCGCCATAGGGCCGATCCCCTTTCTCTCACCACCTTTGTGCGTCGCGATCGCGCAGGCGCGAGCACAGGTTTTGTCGGCAGCGGTGGCCACCCTGCTGGTTGAGGCGGCGCGGCTCGAGGCGGCGGCGCTGGCGCCCAGCACTGGGGCCCAATACCTGCTCCACGTGCAGTGGTGGTGGCGCTGGCTGCTCGTGTATGGGCTGGAGGAGCACGGGCGGTCGCCCCCT